GATGTGAAAAACATTACCATTGAAATCTACCTGATGACTTTATATCCATGCTTAGATGCCAAGGAGCTCTGAAAGTAACCAACTGTGACTAGTAATAATCTGATCTCTAGAGATTAGAAAAGTATGTGCAAACATCTTAGTGTCAATTGCATTAAAAATTAAGTTTCTGTATGAAACTCTGTATTTTAATAATGAAATGGAGATCTTTTTTAAAGTTTAAAACCTCATTAAAAAAATATTTTACGTGATGTATTTAACAATGTTGGTATCATTTTGCTATATAAATCTGCCCCTTCACATCTCTGTATATTTCTAAGTTTAAGCCCCTTGAAGCCCAGAAGTGTATAACTTTGGAAAGACATTAACAGAAGTTAGACTATTCCCATATAGAAATAAAACTACAAAATGTAATAGAAACATAAAGAACCTATCTACTTTATTTGAATTAAGAAATTATAAAATAAAACCATCTTCAAAATATGTACACAAATGAAAAAAAAATCTGACCATACCAGAAGAGATTTGTCATAGGGTTTGTCCAGTGACATCTAGTCTTATAGTATAGCATTGGTTTAATAAAATATAAGTATTCAAATTCTAATATTCTATAATACATAGTAATAAACTGTTGCACCTGTGTATGAATTAAAGACATATCATATGAAATATTTTATTTCCACCACAAAGTAAAATTAGTGTTCTGACTACTGAACTCATTTTTTAAAACCCCTTATGAACAGTTTTAACAAATTGTCTTTAAGTTAATGTTCTAAGGTGGTTATTCCCAAAGTTTATGTGAACAAGTACCTTTGAAAACTCTCATAAATTCCCAAAGTGATCAAATTAAATTTTATTTTCAGTCCTCAGACACAGTTTTCAGGATTATTGAGTCACACAGGACTGGAAATCACAGTTCTAAAGTGGTTAGGAGAGGACTGGAGAATTCTATGAGAGGCAATCAGGGTTTGAACATTCCTATGCATTCAAGGGTCTTCCATAAACATTAGCACAAAAAGGCAATTACACCACCAGCTGCAGAAAAATCAGCACAAGCAAGCAAAGAATGCTAAAGACTGTTTCCTTTTTAATTACACAGAAGGATTCAATCATACCTCAAGAATAGGACTCCAATCAAGGACAGAAGAACTCATGAAAACCATTCCATTTCTTGAGACGGTGGCAGGCGAAGCATTGTCAATGTTGTGAGGTTCAAACACAATCTTGCAGTTTGGAGCCATGGGAATCCGATCGCCATTGGCCAGGGTCAGAGTTTTATTATCATCCAAAACAGAGTTTAGATTTTCAATCCAGATGGCATCAACTGGACCATCAAGAACTATCCAGATATGTTCCCCTAAAATACCACCCAGAGAAGAGGGGGAAAGCACACATGCACATAGGTGCCTAGGTAAATAGCTAGGAAGCTTGAAAAAACACTAGAATTGAATATAATGTCCATTAATTTTAAATAAAGCTTTGATCTTAATGGTGACTAAGTCCTATGAACACAAAGGACTCTCTAAGTTCTTTACATGGCAGTTATGCAAAGACTGTAATCAAATCAAAAACCCTTGGTTTGTTGGCCAAATGCTCATTAAACATCTTCCATATGCAGCACTGTTCTACGAGCTGTGGGAATGGTGGTAAGTGAGTCAGTGTTCTGCTCTTGGAGGGCTTATATGTTAAGGGGCAGAAATGACAAGCAGAAAAACAATAGAAGGTTTCAGAGAATAAAAGCAGGCATTGTTTCAGATAAGGTGGTCAGTGAAAGATTTCACAAATAGAATAAAGTGATTCAAAGATCTGCAGATAGGATTCACCAGTCTGGGAAGAGAAAGTGCCAAGACCCCGAAGCAGAGACAAGTGTCAGGTGATACAGTGGCCTGAATGTTTTCATCCCCTCTGAGGTCACTGCCCTTGTATAAGAGTGGGATCCCTCACCCCTTTGGCCAGGAGAGGATGCAGCAGTGAAGTTAGCAGATTCAGAAGGTGAAAAGTAAATGTCTGTCTATTATATTGAGTTCTAGCAGCCCAAAGGAACTAAGGGAAGATGCTCCAGGACAGTTAGAAGTCAAACTTAGCTGGCAAGATGGAAAGGAAGTGGTTCAAAAGCACAGCAGGAAAGATCAGGAGGGGATAGACAGCGCTAAAGAACAAATTCAGTTTTGTATATGTTAGCATGCAACAGAAATCCCAGGAGAGTTGTTCAGCTGTAAATTCAAGGGAAGAATCAGGGCTAGCTATTATAATGTAGAAGCCTTCGGCTTAGAGGTGGCATTTAAGGTCACAGGGCTGTGCAGGTTTCTTGTAGATGAAAGGGTAGAGAAGAGACAGGTCTGGGAACAGAGGTGACCCAGTCTTTATTTGGACTTCCTGCAGAGTCTCCACTGTTGCCCCCCACACTCTCTAGCTTTTTCCAGGCATCTCAACAAAGTGGATGTAGGAGAGAGTCAGTGGGATGAGGGATCCCTGGGACCAAGGGAAGATTCAGGAAGGAGGGTGGGCAACGTGGACAGAGGCCACTGAGGACAGCACTAGACTGAGAAAAGGCAATCTGTATTTGACAAGCCAGGAAGTCACAAAGTCCTTCCTAGTGTAATTTCAGGAAACACTGGGGACCAACAACATGAGTCACTTAAGGAGATAATTGGGGCTGAAGAATAATACACACAACAGGAGGTGCAATGGGAAATGAAGGTATTTGACCTCATAGTAGCCCCTCTTCATGTCCTAACTACCTGCCTCTATCACTCACCACCAACTCAGTGGCTCTAACTTTTCTTTGCAACACTGTGAATATTCTCTAAAATGAAATGCTTTGAGAACCCTAATCAAACACACTCAACTCGCAGTGGGTGTGAAACAGTGATCTCATCACAAGGCTCTTGAAAGAGAAAGCTTCCATCTCCTTTTTTAGAGGAAAGGGAAAAAATCTTCTCTGAGTAATTCCTGTAGATAAAATTTGATCACCATAACTGCATTTATACTGGGTTATTTGAATAAATCAGAAACGAACTTTTAAATATTTCTAGTAAAATAACAATTGATAATAGAAATATTTTCACTCTTTTGATAACAGATGTTAAAGGGATAGACTCCTGTCCTTCCATAAGAATTGGGATGGTGCTGCCTTAAACAATTGTCAGCTGGGCTCTGCTACCCAAAGGGAGAGTAGAAAGGACCTGCCAACAGCTGCCCCTCACTGTGCTCCTTCCCCTGTCGTTGTGACCTCCCTTTCTTCGATTCAACCATAGTGAGAGAACACAAGGTGCTGATACCACCTCTTCCAGCTGAGCATGCTAAGAACACTAGGTTCAGTTTGTACTGTCCTATGTGAGACACCATTCAGACTGAAGAGCTGACAGCCTAACCCAACACCAGTGTCCTTTTAAACAGATGATTTGCTAGCTCAATTTAGACTTCATTTTTGGTATATTCAATTTTCTGCCCAAAGAAACTCATTTCCCTCTATGATTTCATATATTACTATAAAAAAACCACCAGGTTCTTTGTAAGTAAAAGTAACATTTTAAAACTATTCAATGAACATACTTATGGTGAGTATATTCACTTAAAACTATCAGCCTTCCAGGGCTGGAGAGATGGCTCAGCAGTCAAGAGCACTGACTGCTCTTCCAGAGGACCCAGGTTTGATTCCCAGCACCCACATGGCAGCTACGAACCATCCTTAATTCCAGTTCCAGGGGAATCTGAAGCCCTCTTCTGACCTCCATGGCATTGCATGATATGGGTGCACTCACATACCTGCAGGCAATACACTCATACACATAAAATAAAAACAATAAATAAAATATTTTTTAAAACTATCAGCCTTCCTTAACAGATTTTTCTCTATTTTGTCATAAAATATCACTTGGATATATAGGAATTATTTTTCACATATTCTTTGAAAGGGAGGTGTTTAGGGCTGGCAAGATGGGTAAAGATTCCTGCCACCAAGACTGACCACCTGAGTTCAATCACTAAGACCCACATGGTGGAAGGAGAGAACCAACTCCTGCAAGGTGTTCTGTGACTTTCATGTGCACATCATGGCATATGCATGCCACACACACACACACACACACACACACACACACACACACAAAACGCACACAAAATAAAATGTAACAAAAATTTTAAGGAGGGGACTAAATACACTAATCAATAATTTCATTCTTTCAATATTCATAAATAGCATGCTGATTGTTTTTTACTTAGTCTTAGCTAATATATTAAATAGATAACAATGTTGGTTAGTATTCTGTACAGCCACCAAGGATTTTATTTAGAAGTCCATGTGAAAAATAATTCTCACTCTTACCTTTCTTGGCTTTCAGTGTTTTCCTCCAAAGGGTAGAAAATATCCCATCAGTCCAATCATTTGTGGCCACATCAAGCCGACCAAACATCTGTGGGGCAGTAATTGCTTTGGGGTTCATCCTCATTTCCCGGTGTGGTTTTCCACAATCTGTAGCAGGTGTATCCAAGTTTTAAACATCCCAGATGTGGCATGAACTAATGCAAGCATGGTACTAATTTGAGATATACTCTCAGCAAATGGTCAAAATATGGAAAAGTGTAAAATTACACTGAAAATATATGTCAAACCACATTCCAAGTTATAATTCACCTTGTTCTACTTTATTGACTACAACACCTTGTCTTCTACAAAAATATAATTGCATGTTGCCTCAGTGAATGAAAGGGACACCCTGCTGGAACTGTGAGGGTACTGGACCTTCTCAAAACTTCACTGCTCCAAGTAAATTTGACTTAGCACATACTAGGATATTGCTCCCGAAATACAAGCTAGTGCTGATATTCTTCCTCATTCATTTTTGAAAAGATAAACTACAAGAGTTTTGTAGAAATCTTGAACTATTTTGTGACCAATTTCAAGTATTGAATTTAAATTGCTTAGTTCTTGAAACTGCCACTAAATGGACAGGATTGTACACACAAAGGCTGTAGGCAGTTAAGCAGAAAAGTAAAGGAAAAGTCAAAATATAAATTCATAAAAGCAGATGCTGAAATACTATATAATTGTCTGAGAGTTCAACAAACACAAGCACATCTGTGATATATTATAAAAGATGTTATATTACAGTCCTTTATGATTATTGTTTTTATATGCCAACTTCACAGACCACAAGGTACCCAGATTAAACACTGTTTCTGGCTGCTCATGGTGGCACATGCCTTTTATCCCAGCATTCTGGAGACAGAAGCAGGTAAATCTCTGTGAGATTAAGGCCAGCCTGGTATATATATCTAGTTCCAGGCCATCTGTAGCTACAGGAAGATCCTGACTCAAAAAAACACAACAAAACAACAGCAACAACAACAAAAAAAAACCTACTATGTCTAGGTGTGTATATGAGCATGTTCTGGGTGAAATTAGCATTTGAACCTACAGGCTGTACAGCAGATTGCCTTTCTCAGCATATATAGACATTATCCAGTCTCTTGGGATTCCCAACAAAAAAAAAAACCAGTGGGACAGGATGAATTCATCTTTGTTTTTTCTCTTTTCCACTATTTGAGCTGAGATAACTGTCCACCTTCCTCAATCCTCAGATTACAATTTATGTCATCAACACCCCTGGTCTATGGGTATAGAAACACATGGCCAGCTCTCCTAGATCTGCAGCTTATGGACAGCAAGTGATGCAACTTCTTGGCCTCTATTAGCATGTGAGCCACCAATTACTAGAAATGTGTGTGTGTGTGTGTGTGTGTTGTGTGTCTGTGAGTATGTGTGTCCATGTCTGTGTGTGTGTCTGTGTGTGTCTGTGTCTGTGAGTGTGTGTGTATGTGTGTGTCTTGTGTGTCTGTGAGTATGTGTGTCCATGTCTCTCTGTGTTCGTGTGTGTGTGTGTGTGTGTCTGTGTCTGTGAGTGTGTGTGTATGTGTGTGTGTGTCTTGTGTGTCTGTATGTGTGTCCATGTCTGCGTGTGTCTGTGTGTGTCTGTGTATGTGTTCCCTCCTGGATCTGTTTCTTTGGAGAACCTCAACTAAAACTCCCCCTTAGGAAAATTTAATCATATTTCTAATTCATAGAAATTACAAAGCCAGTTAGGGAAATTATTTGCAGTATTTTATCATGCTAAAGTTCAGCCTAGCTACAGCTTTTGCAATAGATGACATCCAACACACTCTGAATACACTATTTTTTTAACCTAATCACACTTTACAAAAGGCCAGCAAAATCTTAAAGTGTTTGAATGGACCTGATCTTTTGTACATTCAAGAAAAACTATCAAAACTCATTTCATTAGATAGTAGGTAGTTTTATCATTTTTATTTAAAATATCATAAATTTTTATAAAAGCACTATAAGAATAAATATATCACTTTCATAATGTTGATTAAAGTAATTTTTCTTGATTCTCTTCATAGGGGTTTATTTTTTTAAGATTCATTTTTATTTACTTGTATGCAACATGTGTGTGTTCCAGAAGAAAGCATCAAATGCCCTGGAGCTAGGGTTACAGGCAGTTGTGAGCCACCCTACATGAGTGCTAGGAACCAAGCTCAGATCCTCTGAGAGACTAGCAAACGTTCTTAATCACTGAGCCATTTCCCCAGCCTGGGTCCTGATCATCCCGCCTTCTTGGGCTCTGCCCTGGCATGGGCACCTTTCCTTGCTGTCAGCTTCTCACAGAGCTCAAATTACCTCTCCAACCCCTTATCTTATTTTCTGTGTGGCCACCGGGTGATCTATACACTTGAGTGATAGTGCTATTTCCCAGCTCAATGGTTTCCCACAAAGCTCCTCACACCGTTGTTACTGTCCTAATTTAGGATCCTATAAAGACAGAGATGGAAACAAGGACTTGGATACTGGTAGTTTGGAATGAGAGGACAGAAAAGCAGAAAAAATCAGTAAATAGTGTGTTGCTATACTAGTTAAACTTGTAATATACCTCTGAAAGATATGAATGGGACATTGGCCATCAGCTCTTCTCCCTTATTGGTTCAAGGATATAGACGTTTCAAGGCATTAATTAGCTATTCCTTGAGCCAGTTTCCATCTTCAAGCAAAGTTCTAAGGCTAAAAGCTACAAGACATTTCTAGAGCTGGAGTGGAGCCTCTTCAACACAGGCACATCCACATCAAAGGAGTATGTCACTGAATGCCAAGAGTGAGCACCTGCCAGAGCTCCACACCCAGCCTCATCACCCCAAGCCCCCCACCACTCCACAACGAATTGTATCCCATCCATGCCTAAGCACTTTACCAGTGTATCATGAACTTCCCTCTTCACGTTCCTCTCTTCACAGGCTCTCCCTTCTGCTAGGGATGTCTTTTATCTACCAACTCCTCAACACTTAAACCCCAGATGACGTAGCACCTACTCTCTAAGACTTCCCATAACTCCTTAGAATTTATCTCATCTCCTGCCTTACTCACAGTGTAGTTCAAACCTTCCTCACTGAAATTTCACATCAGTTGTCATAGCTGTGTCCATGCCTTCCTGCCACATTGTTAATCTCTAAAAGAACAGATACACTTTTTTAAACTTATTTTCCTGCTTCTAGTACAGAACCTGGCAGAGTTACAAAGTACAGAATATTAAAGACAATTAATGAACAAATGCATGATGAATCAGCAAACAAATCTCATGCATGGGTCATGCACCTCTTTAGCAGGAGTTCCACTCAATTATCTCCTCCATCTTTTGGATCATTAAACTTTTCAACATGAAACAGCATGCTATTTAAAATAGTAAATGTTTGCTCTATGTACCAAAACCAAGAGTAGCTTAATGAACAGCAAACCATCTAATGATAAATTTATCTTTTTAAGGAACTTCTCCCAAACAACCAATGCCAAATGGATTACATAATTCAGATGGAGCATACATAATGTATCTATATTGTTTAATATTCAGCATTTCATTTTGTTAAAGTCATTGCACCAGATGCATTTGTAGTTCATTGTTAACAGAAAATAGTTTCAACTGCAATAAAAACATTGAGCACAATTGGGAAAACATCATCATTTAAAAACATCAAAATCCTAAACAGAATCTTCATAGCATATATGAAGAGCCATGTAATAAATAATAAATGCTGCATATCTGAGTTCAGTTTGGAGGAGGGAATAGCCAGCAGCCACAGCTTGTCTCCATCTGAAGACATTCTGGCAGAGTCTTCACAAATGGAATTTACTTTATTCAATAACCGATGGGAATAGGACCAAATGTAGCACATGGAGACCCCTGGGTAGGTATCGGCAGTCTCCAGCAACAACTAGCGGTATACCAGCATCAGTGCACTACGCTCCATCAGTTAGTTACTAGAACACAACAAACAGCACCTGCATCTGCCTCCTGAATACTGGGATTAAAGGCGTGCGCCAGCACGCCCGGCTAAGTCTTAATCTTTCTTATCAAATAACAGCCTCCTTTCAAATTCAACATGAAAAGGAACTTAAACAGGTAAACATACAGCACAGTAAAAACACCACTTAAATTTTTTTCTTTCTTGAGGCCAGGCATTGTAGCACAAGCCTTTAATCCCAGCACTTGGGAAGGCAGAGGCAGGCATATCTCTGTGAGTTCAAGGACAGCCTGGTCTACATAGTGAGTTCCAGGACAGCTAGGGCTACAGGGAGACCCTGTCTCAAAAAGACCAAAAAAAAAATTTCTTTCTCTGGTCCATAAACATAATATGCTATTTCTTAAATGGTCCCAATTAGCAGCAAATTTTAATTCCTTCCTTTTAAAAACAATGTATTTGTCTCTCTGCTGTCATGTCTCTCTTGGGAGTTCAAATATGTAACAACTGTTGAAGTGTGTCACCACAGCAATGAAATTGCTGTTCCATACCTGCCATGGCTTTCATCAGGGTATGGATGCAGGTGCTTTTCCCTGCTCCACTGGGCCCCAGGGTCATCATTCCGTGCCTCACCCTCTGCGTTTCAAACAGCTGGATGACTTTCAGTTTCCAAGGATGATGGTTAATTAAGCCAGCTTCTTCAACCTGAAAGACAACAAAATACCCATGTAGGACAGCACTCACAATGATCCAGACTTACCGATGTGTTTAAAAACACATGGTTGCACATTCTTGGTCAAGGCATTCTGAGACTCACAAAAATATAGATTATTGTCACAGCCAATGGTTGCCTCCCAAAACAGGAAGGACATGAAGGTAAGACCCTATTGGTAAAGACAGGATATACTTTGAACACAAGACTTGGAGCAATTGAGCTGAAACTGACCCGGAAGCTTCTTCCCTGAAGACTAGCTCTCACTATATCAGAGAATACTATGCAAGCTGCCAAAGGAGGAAACTAATCAGTGGTCCTGCCCAGCTATGAAGCATACCAACCACAATAATGACTGGTCCAGCAAATTATCTCTATTGGAGCAATAGTGGCACTTTTATCTTGGGGTAATCAATTGTTGTCTAATTGGACTTAAGGCCCACTCAATAGGAGGGAATTCATGCATGGTACTATATACATAGCCAAGTACACATGGCTGGAAAAGTCACAGACTCTAGAGGAGAACCTGCCTCTATCATTTTCATAGACCAAATTAATTTCTCACTATATTTTAAATATGTATTCTTGTAGTGTACAAGCAAGTATACCTCCCACTACTCATCAAAGAAGCCTCTTTTTTGCAACAGATGGAGATCAGTACAAATTTCCACAACCGGTCAGAATACAAAGAATAAGTGATTGTGAGGTACCCAGCTCTAAGTGATACATCTACACTGCACCCTCACGGAACACTGGGGAAGAGGAGGCAGAGAGATTGTAAGAGTAAGAGGAAGACACCTGCTGCGAGTTAATGCATCCTAGACATGACAGGGGAGCTGCATCCATGCAATCGCCACAGTATGGCAGCCTAACAAGATCTTCGTGATGACAAAGCTAGTTGATATGCCAAGGCGAAAGGATGGAGGAGGAATGTCATGGGGTCCCACCTCAAGATGAAGAGCTACAGGCAATCAGTGGATGTTGAGGGAAGGAGACCCAGTTTTCACCGGGACTAGTTTCCTGAGATCCTGAGATGTATTCCAAATGGGCAGCCCAAAACACAGGTATACACAAGCACCAGTAAACGGGCTCAGTGCGTGTGTGTGTGTGTGTGTGTGTGTGTGTGTGTGTGTGTGTTTGTAACAATAATGATCACAGAAAAGGCTAAGAAATTGTGAAAGAGAGGAAGAGACAAGTGAGGAGCTGGAGGAGTGGGAGGGGTGAAAATAATGCAAATACAATATTCATGTATGAAATGCTCAAAAAATATATGAAGTTGTTCTTGACAAAAGAAAAAAGAGAAAAAAAGAAAAAACCACTGAATGTAGGGTAAAGGGGAAAAATGGGAGGTTAGTGGCAAATGACTATACAGTTTCAGTTTGGGAAAGATAAAAGCATTGTAAGGATGGACGGCACAGATGAACCCACAGTAGAGACTCAGCAATGTAAAAGTACTAACTCTAGCCAGATTGCATACTTCACAGTATTTAAAATAATAAACTGGATGGTGTGTAGTCAGCCACAATAAATTAATTTATCACACAAACATGTATGCAAACAGACAAAAAACAGGCTAACGTAAAATATTACCCCAAACTAATAAGAAACACCTACATATCTCTTCGGAAATTGACTTCATTAATGCTAATACTTTATTAAATGTAAAACCGAGAAATGACTTAAGAATAAAGAATTAAATGTGAAATGTATTTAGAAGGGTGATAATCATAACCAGAAAAATGCACAATATGTCAGACTAATTAGAAGTCTTTACATTTCCAGCAGTCTCTATACTGGCTATAGTGACATGTATGCATAGTCCTCATCTACCACATACACAGAGTGTAGAAGTTATCCTGTATTTAAAACTGTCCTAAGATTAATCTTCAAAGTAAGATGGTGAGATTACTATTATTAAAAGCTTCACTGTAAGGGTAAGAAAATTGAGAAGCAGAATAGGCTATGTTCTGAGAGGTTCAACTTGTAGTTATAAAATTGGAATCTGTCCAAAGAATCCGCTCTTAGAGTCAGTGACTCTTTGTATTGTTTTCTTTGTTTCTCTTTCATTAATTTCTCCTCTGATTTTTGTTATTTCTTCTCATCTGCTGGGTTTGGGTTTGGTTTGTTCTTGCCTTTCCAGAGTCTTGAGTTGTACTGTTAAGTCTTTTATATATACTCTTTCTGGTTTTTTCAATGTAGGCACTTAGAGCTATAAACTTCTTTTTTAGGACTGTTTTCAGTGTGTCCCAGAGGTTTTGTGGTGTTGTATTTTCCTTTTCATTTAGTTCCAAGAATACTTTTATTTCCTTCTTAATTTCCTCTTTGACCCATTCATCATTCAAGAGTGTGTTGTTTAATCTCCATGAGTTCATGTAGCTACTAGGGCTTCTCCAGTGTTTATTTTAAGCTTTATTGCATTGTGGTCTTCTAGAATGCATGGAATTATTTCAAGTGTTTTGTATTTGTTGAGGTTTGTTTTGGGTCCCAGTATGTGGTCAGTTTTAAAGATACTTCCACGGGTTGCTGAAAAGGAGCTTGAGTGGACTATTCAGCAGATGTCTGTTAGGTCCATTTAATTCAGATGTCTCTCTGTCTGTTTACAGTTTGTCCAGCTGACCAGTCTATTGGAGGCAATGAGGTACTGAAGTTTCCTACTATTACTGAGCTGGGGTTAATCTGTGTCTTAATGTCCTGTAGTACTGTTCTTATGAAATTGAGTATGTCAGAGTTTGATGCATATACGTTCATGATTGTAATATCTTCTTGGTTAGTTGCTCCTTTGATCAGAATGAAGCGACCCTCTTTATCTCTTCTGATCAGTTTTAGTTTGAAGTCTATTTTGTCAAATATTAGGATTACAACCTGCTTGTTTCTGAGTACCATTTTCTCAGAATATTTTTTCCATCCTTTTACCCTAAAGTATTGCCTATCCTTGTAGGTGAGATGAGTTCTTGGAGACAACAAAAAGATGGATTTTCTTTCTTAATCCAGTCAACTAGTCTGTGTCTTTTGACCGGAGAGTTCAGGCCATTGATATTTAAAGTTATTATTGAAAAGTGTTTATTGATTACCATCATTTTAATTTCTGTTTGCATTCTTGATATAATTTTGTGTTTCCATAACCATACCTTCATTTAGTTTCTTTCCATTGCCTCTTAGGTATAGTCGTCCCTTTCTTCAGTCCTTTGTATTGCTTTGAGTAGTCGCTGTGGGGTTAGTTTGGTGAACATGAATTCTTCCAGTCTATTTGTGTCATGGAAGATTTTTCTTTCCCCTCACCCATAATAGACAGTTTCACTAGATAACATTTTCTGGGTTGACATCCATGATCATTTAGATCTTGCTGTACTTTGGTCCAGGCCCTTCTGGCTTTCATAGTTTGCAATGAAAAGTCAGCTGTAATTTGAGTGGCTTTTCCTTTATACATGACTTGTAGTTTTTTCTCTTGTAGCTTTCAGTATTCTCTCTTTGTTATGCACATTTAGGAATCTGAGCCCAAATTATCCAGGTCTGAGGTAGACTTACAGACCAGCCATGAACTCACCGTAAGTCATGATTTTACTTTGACTAAAATAATTTTGAGTTCATGAATGCAATAGCTGTGTCATGCCTTGAAGATCATATTCTGCAACGCTTCTCTCTTTTCTGCTTCTAACCCACAGCAACTCCTGGTTAACCTCAAAGGGTCACAAAACAGAAGAAAAAGATATGAATGTTGGGAAGGGATTGTAAATGTGAGCAGGTTTGACAGGGTAGGAGGAAAATAAGGCTGAGAGTGATCAGAATGCATTCTACACATGTATGAAATAATGAGAGAACAATTTTAATCATAAAAAGTAGTAAAAATAAAACATTTGGATAACAGTCATGCATCATTTATATGATGTATTTCTCTTCATATTTTTCAGGTACTACAAGTAACTAAGTCATGTCATAAATTACTTAATATTCAGCTTTTTAAAGAGTGCTGCAATTTAATTTAGCCAAATTGAAGAAGAAAACCTTTGGAGAATTGATTATTACTCTTTCTTGATCAAGAAATTCAAATTCTAATGTATTAATTTTCAAAGCAAAAATATACATTAAGTACTACCATGTTGGAATTATATTGCAAATATTTTCAAGGAAATAAATTGTATGTTATAAACATAAACTAATTACCACATCTTTAAAACAATATTTTTCCCAAAACTCATCTCATAGTGATGTAAATTGAGGCGCCAGGCTTACACAGTTTATTTCCATTCATAGGACGACTCCAATCAATTAAATAGTGAAAACCATGCCTGATGATAGACATAATACAGACCAAAACATCACAAGTGACCAGGGTGGAAGAGTGAGCAGAGAGGGTCAAATAACAGTGCTGCAAGTAGGGCACTGAACCAGAAGTCCTGAGACAGATGGCAGGGCAAAGAGCAGGCCAAACGTACTCCAGCAAGGAACCACATGAGTTTCTACAGTCTGTACTGACCAAGCACATTTCCTTTCTGAATCTTGTGTGGGATGGTTTCCACCACTGATGAGGCCACTTGGACACGACTCCTTGTACATATGACTGTGGAAGGTGGGGAGACTGTGGCAGGAGGATCTCTGTCAATGGCCCACAGCAACATCTTTTTAATAGCTGTTCTCAGAGATCACAGGTAAGGGTCTGGCAGATCCACTGGATTCCCACCAAGCAAGCAAGTCAGACCCGAACTTGGTGCCCGCGAAGTACTTTACCTGTTTACTGATTGCTGCTTCCAGCTCAGGGTAACCTGCCTTGTCCAAAAGAATATTTGGGAAGAGGTCATCAATCAAACTCAAAAACAAGGGCTCATCTTCATCAATCTAGAAAGAAAAGGTAAATAAGATGAACAATTTGAAAATGTTCAACACAGTACTGAGTGACCATTAATAGATGAAATATCACCTTCATCAAATTTGAGTAATATGTTATTCATATTTCCTGTAGATTAAAAAATTAGGGTGATGAGAAAATAGAAAGAAAATATGACCTGCAACTGTTCCATAAAATACCTAGTCAAGGTCAGTAGTCTATAATTCCTAGCTTACACTAAAAAGAATTATTTTAAATTAGAAATAGTAGGAAATTCATGAATCAGAATTTTGTTTATACTTCATTTTGAAACAAAAATATATCGTTTTATCAATCTTCATACAGATTCATTGATACTGGACATTGATTGCCAGTAGTTACTACAAGAGTGAGAATTTTTTACATATTTGTAAAATTGGATAGAACTTCCTCCCTTGCTCAATAGACTTTAAAGAAAGCAAGATTCTGACTCTACAACACAGAAATCATTTAAATCATTTGTAACTTTTATGTGTATATTTTTAAAAATTCATTCCAATTCCATTAAAATAAAATATTTCAGACTAGATGGGCACCATCAAAAAGAACTCCTGAGAAAAAAAATGACAATTAAACAATTTAAACTCTGTTCTCTAGGACTTTGTCCGATAATTAGGCATACTTAAATGAGCATTTTGTTTGTGTATTTTTAAGATTTATTTTTTTTAATGCATGCATGGCTTATTTTATTAAGAGACATAAACACAGTAGCAAGTTAAATAACTTTAGCTGGGCTTTGTAGCCCAGAGCTTTGATTTCAGCACCTGGAAGATGGAAGCAAGAAGATCAGGAGTCCAGAGCCATTCTTGGCTACATAACCAGCCTGGGTTATGTGAGATCCTGTCTCAGAAATACAAACAAACACACAAACAATAAGTTAAATAACTATCCTTAAATTTAATTTTATTATTTTTTTATTTTTTTTATTTAACAACCACATGACTAGAAGAAGCATTTCATTACAACATTACAGCTTTAACATATTCAGTAACACATTCCAGAGCAAGGATACATTTCGTTAAAAAGTAGCTGTGACCTGGGCCTGCACCACCGGCTAACTCTCCTAGCCTGCACTACTATTCTCAGGCCTCTTGGGCTAAGTCTATAGCACAGCCCTCCGCGCGCCGGGACTCCCTAAGCCACATTCACCCTTCCATCCCTCCCGCCATTCTATACTCCTAGTTTGGGCTCTGTGCCACTCCTAGTCTTGGGGCCCCAGACACCTGGGGAACTAATACTGCTTCCTGATCCTTCTCATCTAGACCAACACAGTACCGTTCTTGGGCCCCAGGAGCAGTGCTTCTGGTCCTGGCCCTGCCCTCACATCTCTCTGCTTCCCTGGGCCTACACCAACTTCTAACTCTCCTAGCCTGCACTACTATCCTCAGACCTCTTGGGCTAAGTCTATAGCGCAGCCCTCCGTGCCGGGACCCTAAGCCACATTCACCCTTCCATCCCCCACACCGTTCTATACTCCTAGTTTGGGCCCTGCGCCATTCCTAGTCTTGGGGCCCCAGACACCTGGGGAACCAATACTGCTTCCTG